GAGCAGCAGGGACTTGAATGGGGCCACATATGGGATGTTGGTACTGCAGGCAGCAGCTTTTATCCACTACACTACAGTGCCGGCCCAATAATTTTAAATTTTATAAAAGTTAGTAATGGGGAAGGAGAAATGGGTAAAGGTTGATTAACAATACTAAAGTATAGTGAGACGAGAGAAAAAATTCTGCTGTTCTGTTGCACAAGAGGGTAACTTACAGATAATGAAAGTGTACTGTACATATATTGTTAAAGCTGGAAGAATGGATCTTGAATGTTTCACCATAACAAAATGATAAATGTTTGAGGAGACAGATGTGTTTACCCTGATTTGAACATTATGCAATGAATGTGTGTATGAAAACATCACATGGGAGCTCCCCAATTCTGTACAATTTCTTTGTATCAGTTACAAATAAATAAACCTCTAAATGGGAAAAAAGTTAAAACTCAGAAACTTTTTTCTAAAAAATTCAAAATTCATCAAGAATGTGAATTCCAACTAAATGAACACTGTTTCCCTTTTATAAGATGCATAGATAGAACTCCCCTTTGCCTGTCTCTAAACTGCTTTTTTAACCAAAGCAAATGTGACCTAACAGTGGAAGCCTCACTTGTACATATGGCTTCCGTCAAGAGAACAGGAGCGCATGGATGCCCAATCGCCATCCCAAATTCCTGTCAGTGCAGAGGGAAGCATTTCATTCCATCGATATGTTGTATAAGAAATTGAGGCTTACACATATTAATAAGTTAACAGGAGTCTGTAGCTGGGCCAGGAATAGAATCCAGGTTACATATTTTTAGACTAGTGCCTCTTTGATTTTCACACGCAATCTGATACTTACCCATATGCTTTAAAAGGACACAGCTTTCAGCAAGGAGAGTAGCAGAAAAGAGAGAATCTGAACAACCCCAGGGCTGAACACAAATCTGCATGGCATGGGCTATGCGTGTTTGGCACCTTCTCTTTAACCCACTCAAGTTCTTTCCAATCTTTTTCTTCTCCCTCGAGTTCCCCACTTGTCCTTACTCTGAGGAAACCTAACTCTCAAGGCTGTAACCCCAATACTATTAGCAGCCACCTACCATATTGCAGGCACCATAGTTAGTACTTGACTCAAATTACTTAATTTAATGATCACAACAACCTCATGGAATAGGTGTTATTCCTGTTCTAAAGACAAGGAAATTGAGTCTCCACGATTTACCAGATAAAGACTTGAGTTCTTTGGACATATTGTTGGAGTAAAGAAAACCTAATAGTTCTGTTGATTTTTTTTTCCTGTTTGTCTTTAGGTTTATCTCAAGTTCCTTTAGGTTATCAGCCAGATAAAGAAATGGATGACTGGTGATTCTCGGTTACCTTGCTTATACACATGTTACAGAAAGAGCATGTTCAAGGATTTAGTAAGAGGCAATATAGTATACAAGTAAGTAATGTGGGATCACACTTTTAGGTTCAAATACTAGCTCTGCAATTTATTTTATGTTGGGCAAATTACTTGAAATTTTGTCACCATTTTCTATTCGTTAAAAACGAGGTCAGGTGCAGGTATTTGGTCTTGTGGTTAAGACACCCACATCTGGTATCAGAATGCCTGGATTCAAGGCCTGGCTCCACTTCTAATTCCATCTTTCTGCCAGTGCCAACCACGGAAGGCAGCAGGAAATGACTCAGGTAGCTGGGTCCCTGTCAGCCATACGGGAGATCTGGATTGAGTTCCCAGCTTTGGCCTGGCCTGTTGGAGGAATTTGGAGATTGAATAAGCAGATTGGGGACATTTCTCTCTACTCCCCCCATTCTCTCTCTTCCTCTCTCTCTCTCTCTCTCTGTGCCTTAAAATAAAAATATATTTTAAGTAATAATTATAGCAACTGTTCCTTTTTCACAGTAATGTTGTGAGGCTATAAAAAACATTCGTGCATGCTAATGCTTAGATTTTTGTATAGTGTGTAACCAGTGCTCAACACATACCAGCCATTGCTATTCCAGAAAGACTCACTGTCTGAGGCCTTGGTAAAGGGCCCAGTGCCATCGGTGTCAATTATTTTCTCTATTAGCTTCTCTAATCAGCTAATCACAGAATGGTCTCCAGTGTATCACATTTCTTCAAACAGCATATAAACATTAAATGTTTTTGGGGAACTTTCTGCCATTTTGTTTAGGCCTAAATTGGTTGGAGTTGCTACAATACATAAAGTATGTTATGTTTATTGGTATTTATTATTATCCAGAGTCTAAATATATTAATTTATTTAATTTTCAGAATAATACTATAAATAAATGTCATCATTAGAGATAGCAAATGGATAGACAGAGGATAATAAACTCACCATTTAATAAATAATAGATAAGAGGTAATGAGGCCACCAGATTCTGATAATCTGGCCATAGAGTGCATACTTTTAAGCATTTTATTATAGTGCTTCCCATTGTGCTGTGCATTTGATTATTTTATTCTCATCACTCTGATTCACTGAGGACATCAATAATGTCCTTTATTATTCCCCATTCTCAACGTTTTAAAGCCTTAGGTCCTTCTGTAATAGGGACAGGCATTGCCTAGGCTGAGTCATGGAAGAGGAGAAAGGAATATCTGATTTCTTATTAGCTGACAGGACCTTTGCTTTAGGATTATAGCTGTGCACTGCTCCACACCTGATCACACCATTTGCTGCTATGTGCTCCTTATGTCAAGTCAGCACATTACCAATGTCCTCTGAGTAGTAGAAATTGAAAAACAGTGCCCATAAAATTTGATACTGCTCATTAAATTAAATGTAAAATGAAAAATCTTACATAAATAAAATTTAGTGTTAACTCTTTTTAACATGAAAGGTAATATATTAAGAATAGTGTATTTTAACACAATAAAAGAATTTCAACATTAGAAGTCAGGCTCCTAGTTGGGTTCCATGCCGGCATCCTGATGATTTCATAGTGTAGATTCTTCATGAATGAGTTCTTCATATCTGTATGTTAATCCAAGTTTCCAGTCAATTACATTATGAAGAACAAGATTTGTTTCAAGGCTCGCTATCTCATCTGCTGTTAGTTGATCACAGAAAATGAGGCTTTCTGTGAATAAAGATTAAAATAAGTGTGCTTCCTTCTAAAGCATACACATGCATGCTCATAAATGCACACCCAGAAAGAGAACTAGGGAAACTTACTTTCAGTGTATTCCTTATGTGACTATCTGGCCTTAGCCTATTTTTTTGTTCCTCAAGCTTAGAGATGTGTCTCAGCCCTGGCACAGCCAAGGGGAGCCTACAGTGACTAAAGGAGTCTCATCCATTCTCATCCATTTACTCCCCAGCACTGCATATATATGGGCATTTTTAACATATGCTGTATATGTCAAGGTTGCGGAGTGTCAGCTAAGCTAGTATTCGTGATTCTAGTTTACTGTATAAACAGAGCCTACCTTACTCATGTGAGCACATTTAATGAACAACTGGGACAGTTTATAATTAAGGTTTTACATGCACTATACATGTTGGTTTGTTGATGTAATTTCACCTTCTAAGTTATTCATTCTTGTTATCTGTCCACTATGGAGTCAGTGGGAAATGATCCTTTGACCTAGAGTAGGACTTGCTCCAGGTTACATCTGCCTCAATAAGTAGGAAGTTGAGTTTCTCTGGTCTCACACAGCGCTGCATTCTTCCTGTGTACTTATGTATATCAAAAGGGTCACACTTGATTTTATTCTCTCTGCACTCAAGGCACAGCTCAAATCTGTCCCTGTAAAGTTGGAGGAAACAAAGGTAACTTCTTGAAGGCAATCGCGCTAGAGTAGGCAGCCTCAATCCTGACAGGGTCACCAAATGCAAAGGGCTGGTATTTTGTATGAAATCTGGCTTATAAAAGACAGGTTTCCAAGGCCGGCGCCGCGGCTCACTAGGCTAATCCTCCACCTGTGGCACCAGTACTCCGGGTTCTAGTCCCGGTTGCTCCTCTTCCAGTCCAGCTCTTTGCTGTGGCCTGGGAAGGCAGTGGAGGATGGCCCAAGTGCTTGGGCCCCTTCAGCCACATGGGAGATCAGGAGGAAGCACCTGGCTCCTGGCTTCGGATCGGCGCAGAACACCGGCAGTAGCAGCCATTTGGGGAGTGAACCAACGGAAAAAGGAAGACCTTTCTCTCTGTCTCTCCCTCTCACTGTCTATGCCTATCTGCTGTAAAAAAAAAAAAAAAAAAAAAAAAAAAAAAAGACAGGTTTCCATTTGCTTCATGCAGCTAATGATAACACATTTTTTTTTTGCCTGTTGAAATGTTACCAGCCTTGCCAAAGATAAATGCCATTTCTGCCCATAATTTTGTGAAATCTTGACCATTAAAATTTTTTTCTCATTGTTCTCTGGCTTGCCAGTGTTTCAGTTACTGGCTTGCCTTACAGAGTCACCTTTACTCTTTCTTGGACCTTGGTCAAGGCCACCCCAGCTCACCTCAACAAATTTTAACAACTTTGAATCTCATGTAGAAGGAGTTTAGGATCTTGACCCCTTTTCTGCTAATAGCAACTGAGTTTGTCACCACTTCACCAGCAGGCTTCAAACTTTGCTCATTAATGGCCTTCATCAAAGAGTATGCTTCACATTTATTAATTCTGCTTCCCTTAAAACTCCTCTACATATTTTTAAATTTTTGTTAACCTTAACATTTTTCATAAATCACAGTTCATTTTAGACTGCAGCACCTCTGACATTATCCTGACAGTCAGATTCACCGAAATATTTAAGTATGTGGCCTTTCTTCTTACGTCTCACCAATTTAGAATCTGATCTTGCCAGCAGTGTCCTGGAAAGTTACACTGATTTCTTTCAATACTTTATTTGGTATTCTTTTCATCTAACCCATGTGCAACTGCATAGGTTGATAGGACCAATTTTCCTAATAACTTCCTTTACCTTTTACTGAATCAAACTATCACTGACAAAGACAAAAATCTATCAAATGCTCTATATTCAAAAAATGAGATTTTTCCATTGAATATGTACCTGAAGTATAGCTTTGTCATTTTTCCCACGGAGATACAATCTGCTCACTTTCACTCTCTCCTATGGTGATAATGAGAGTTAATATTTATTGAACACCTCCTTAATATTATGCTGGGAAATTAACGTTTAATCTTAGTTAATTCTCACAACAACCCTATGAGGTAGGTATTATCATCTTCTATATTCTACAGGTGACAAATTTGAATCCCAGAGAGATTAAATAAATTGTCCAAGGTCCCGAGACATAAGTGACACATTCGGGATAGGGGACCAGGCAATCCAACTTCAAACTTCAGCCTGATAAAGGATACACTGCCTAATTCTGTTTCTAACCTCATTTTAGTTTCACATGAATACTGTTCCCAATTCTACAGATTTTCCTATCTTTTTATCACACAGTTCTATTCCACCCTTCTTAATAACAACAGTTCTATTTCTTTTTAACCCAGCACTATCATATTTTCTCACAGTGCATTCCAGTAGTTTCTTCCCTCCTTGGTAGTCTCTCGATTTGTTTCCTTATATCACAAGTCTAGTTTCACTTTGATTATTAATCATGTTTTCAACTATTCTGGCCCCTAGATAATACAAATTAAACAGATGTCAGACCAGATTAATCTAAGGTACATCCCTCAAAAGTATGTAAGGTTTTGACACAAACAGGAACATGTTCCTATATTCTCATTACTTACCTTAGATAATTCTTTAAGTGAGAAAATTAAAAGATGGATCATTTATAAGATTAAAGAAATTTTGGAATCCATTTAATTCAATGCCTGTTTTTTCTTTGAAAAAAATTATGCATGAATATGTTAAATGACCTCCCTATAGTGACAACAGCTAATTCCTTCAATTGTTTTTCTTCAGTAATTCTTTTGATAAGTGACCAGTAGTTAAAATGATATTTAGGTTTAAATGTTTTTATATCCACTTCATCATTATCCAACATCACTTGTTCCAATTTAATATGTAGTAAATTTTAAATATGTTCTTTTACTATGTTTTATGATGAGTTTCTAAGGCTATAGACAGTTCAGAAGGATTAAAAACACTAGGGATTTTGACATAAAGACTTACTTAAATTAGGCAACATATATTCTGGAAAATATGTGTGTTAGCAGTGTATACCAAAATATAAGGCATTTCTAATGAAGTTACTAAAAATATAAAGAGAAAGCAACAGGAGAGTAGTAAAAATAATGCACAGTTTCTAAAGTAACCTCAACAATAGGGAAACATTTTCTTGCTCGAAAAGCATACAGCCACTTTTTCCTCTTTGAGTATTAGTCTTGCATCCCTTCACACCCCCAGAAACATAACAGATTTCTTTTCTTGCCCTAGTAACACTGTACTTAATAAGAAAATGTACAGGTTACCTGTGATTGTTTGATTTACTATTTTCTCATAAGTGTTATTTATTGACACATTTTATTTTAAAATATTCTGGTTTTCAATGTAAAGATTAGCTTAATAAAAGAACAGAGCATTATGAAGAAAAGGTTTTTTCAAAATCTACAAAATTTGATGATAAAAATATGCCAAATGAGTCAAACTGAATATCCAGATGTCCAAGAAAATTAAAAATTGGAGGACAACTCTGAAGCATCAAATATGATATAGGTGCATAACTATAATTAAATTCATACCCTTTCAGACAGCTGCTCTTCATATTAACAATAAAATTCAAAGGTAATGTGGAAATAGAATTTCATTGCATTTTATATGCTCCGTGAGAACACAAATTTGCAATCAGAGGTTGTGGGATGGTGTAACAATAATATAATGAAAAGTACTGATCTCAACATAAAGGAGTCCATTTCTTCTCAGTTTTTTAACCCTGTGATTTGTTTCTTTCAGTAGTACTCGATCTCTCTAATGAGCGTCTCCTCCTTGTAAGTCCCTAAAGCAATGGCATTCACCTGTATTCACCTGTGTTGTGAGGGATTTTCCTCAGTAGGGAAGCCTGGCAGCAAACTAAAGTGCTTCAACCTACTTGTAAGACCTATGGCTGCAAACTTGGACAGGAATCTGTTCCTGAATGTAAATTGTTTACCTTTCACATAAAAAAATGAAGATAATTAGTGTTCTGATCATTACAACCAACGTGGCTTAACAGACATCCTCAGAAAAGTGGGGAGAAGAGGGCTACAAAGGGTTGCATTGGGCCTCTAATAGCCTGAGGCCCCAGCTTGCAACTAAAATACTGCTAAGTGGAGGAAGATCATGTAACCAATCGGGTCTATAATTTTCTCACCTATAAAACTGAGATGACGCCAATAGTGGCACAGTCGTCATTTACCATTTGTTTTAGTTTTGCTTATGCACTCATTCATATATCTCAAAAATGGTTGTAAGAGAGGTTCCAAAAGAAAGAGAAAATACTAAGTCAAAAATTAAGTAGGCAAATCAGAACTATGGAGAAACAGGTATAAAATGGAGTCAAAGGGAGGGATGGTAGACAGATTGCATGACATATTATGAGGACACTTCCAAAAGTCTGTGGGAAAATGGAATTAAAAGATAAGTGAGGGGCTAGCAAGGGGCGCAGTAGTTTAATCCTCTGCCTATGGCACCGGTTCTAGTCCTGGCTGCTCCTATTCCGATCTAATTCTCTGCTGATGGCCTGGGAAAGTAGATGAAGATGGCCGAAGTGCTTGGGCCCCTGCACCTGCATGGGAGACACGGAGGAGGCTCCTGGCTCCTGGCTCCTGGCTTCAGATTGGCCTAGTTAGGCCATCACCGCCATTTGGGGAGTGAACCAGCAAAGGAAGTCCTTTCTCTCCATTTCTCCTTCTTGCTATCTGTCACTCTACCTGTCAAATAAATAAATAAAATCTTAAAAAATAAGCTAGTTTGGTATAAAAAAAGCTGAAATCAATGTATAGTTTTTTCATAATACACATTTTCCACAAACTTTCTGGAAACCTCTCACAGTAGTAGGTGTAAGCTTTTCTGCAGCCACTGGCTCTCAGTGAGAATTCAAGTCCTTGCTGTCAAAGAGCTACCTTTGATGGTGGGAAAGAGTAGAGGAAGCAGAAATCTCCCTACATGCCTCAAGGGCATAGGATAAGTAAAACATTCTTTAATTATTTCATAGTTTTACCTCCACTAATACATACCTGAAAAGAAAGAGCAAATTTCTAAAACTTGATATGCCCCAGTATTGTTTGGCCTTGACTCCGTATCTAATAATCATTAACTTTTAAAATAAAAATATCATAATTCCGGAAGTTAAAAGATCTTTTCACTGATAGCTAACATAGAAAATAGCCCTAGAAAATACTTAGTTTTCTTAGACTACCGCCATTAAAAAATAAAGAATCTTCACATACAACTAATACTTGCAAATATTTTCTTCAGTTTGTTTGCTACTCTCCTATTTTTTCTTTGCTTCTTCAGCCTCAAATTGTGGAAACAGTTTCCAATGCCTTATACTTGCATTTCCTTCCAATCCAAAATGAGCCTTAATAACATTAGTGTTAGATGCTGGTTCCATAGCAACTGTTATAGGAGCTTTTACATAGCACACGTTTCTGGAGAAATTATGTTTGTTACTCACACTAGTACAAAGAAACTTAGGCTAAAATTATCCTTTGACTCTGGTAGGAGAAACAAAGCTACTTCAAAGATCTGAAGGCTATTTCTTAAGAGCTCTCCCTTGGTCAATTAAGTTGAATTATTTTGCTATCACGTTCATGTTATTTTAAAGCAAGACTGAGCACCTAGAAGTGGCATTAGCCTCTTCCAGCAACATAATTTAAATGATCATGGTTTTCAAAATATGAAAAACTAGAATAATTTTCCCAGTACATTTTGTAATTTCCTTTCTTACATATAAAATAATTTTATTCCTCTAACAAAACCTGTCGAGTTAATATAGAAGACATTTCCACTACAGGTACTAAAAAATCAGTCACCCTTACACTTCATAGAAAGAAAATCAAATTCTATTTTAGTGAAGTTTTCATAACAGCCTTTTGGTAATAATGTTGAAGAATCATGATATATTTAAGAGATATTAATTCTAGTAATAGTCATTTATCTTTGATGTCAGAGAGATACAAAGGCTTGGGAAATAGAAGATTTACGATGACATATTATAGACTCACTTGGTAGATGTTAGATTTTTTTATTCTTCCTCTGAAACGACAGATAATGAAGCTTTATCAACTTCCTTTTATTAAGGCTAAAAATATATCCTATAATAGGATCATAAACATTTAATGAAACTCACAGCTGTACTGAATTTTAAAATTAGGTGAGGATAGGCAGGTAGTTCACAGAAAAGTAAATCAGCATAACTCATACATTATGAGTTTACAACCCAGCTTGTTTTAATTTAATATATTGCTAGGTCTGACCTCTTTCCTGAAGTCTGGACATAAATTACCAACTTCATAAATGAACCTGAATGTCCAGAATGAGTTGATTTTCTTCCCAAGCACATCTGAGATATGTCAGTAGAGAAAGCTTAGTCAAAAAGGTAGAACAGGATGACTGATCTTCCCTTCATTCTTACCAGTGCTTTTTTGGAGAAGATTAAAATCCTTCTGATCTCTGCCTTAAATTGGGGTTCCTAGACACAGCCTCAAACATTAGTATTCATGTGTGCACACTTAGTGGAAAGTTTTCCCAGAAACACTGGAAGAAAAGTGAGAAGATAGGACTGCTAAGGTAAGGTAGCTAAGCAGGGGTATCTTACCCAGCAGTCTCATGGAGGGAACTTTTGGCTCTGTGAAACAGAGAATGTCTGAAGGCAGTACAGGTCACACCCCAGATTTCTCCTGATCAAGCCAAGACAGCTGAAACATTTAAATCTCTCACTCCTGTCAGTCATTGGTAAAGAATTGCACCTAGGGGATATAAGCCCCCAGGTTCTTCTGAAAAAGTAGATTCTAGCAGCCTGGGGCCAACTCTCCAACAAAAAGAGAGTGCTGGCAACTTAAGAGTGAAAAAACAAGGGAAGCCAGAGTGCCTGGGGATGTAGAAAACTGGAGCAAACACAGTGAGTGCATCACCACAATTTGTTTAGCTAGTGTGCCTCTTCTGCCTATTTCATATCCATGAAATTACATAATATCTGACTTTTGTATCGGCTTTCACTGAGCATAGCATTTTCATGTTTCATCCAATTAGTAGCAAGGCTAACACTTCATTTATTTTTATTGCTGAATAACAGTTTAACTTGTCTATGTTCTGTCTAGTTGTTCTATCCAACATTGAAATGGGAGATTGAAGTTTTTAACTACTATTTTTGAATTTTCTATTTCTTGCCTTAGCTCAGTCAATTTTGGAGCTCAAATGGTTATAATTATGATATCCTCCTGATGGATTGACCCTTTTTTAATCATTATTAAATGACTCTTTTTGTCCTTTGAAGTTTATTTTGTCTGATATTCTTGTACCCACACAAACTCTTTTATGGTTACACTTTGGTTGATGAGTCTGTTTTCCATCCTTTCACTTTCAGCCTATCTTCTATTTTTTCATCAATTTCAAGTGTATCACCTATAGACAACACAGAAATTGATCTTGTTTTTAATTCAGTCTATCAAATTTGATTGGATTGTTTAATAAA